TTTGCCTTTTTCTGCTTTCTTTGGGGTCAGCTTTGCAGTTCGGGGTTGGCGTTGTTGCATTTTCGAAGTTGGTGATGTTGCGTTTTTGGCGGCGGCGATTTTGCAATTCTTTGAGTTTTGCCCTTGCAGTTTTATTTTATTTTATTTTTTCGGGGAGGGGGGGAAAGGGGGGGGGACAACACGACATCTTGCTTTCATTTTATTTCATTTATTTCATTTCATTTTTCGGCCTTTTGATTCTCTCCAAGCCCGTGCACTTCGTTACAGAGCTTCTCCCCTTCTCCCTTTTTGCCATCGTGCAGCGGTGCGGCCCCACAACCCCCCCCTCCCGGCCCCCCCGGCTCCACTATGGGGCCGCCCCACTCTCTGGCAGCCGCCCCACACTCGGCAGCTCCCACATCTGGCCCCATCCCGCCTCATCCCGGCTCTAATTTCAGCCCAGACGAGGGGGGGATCCCCCGATCCCGGCACCGCCCCGCACTCCCCTCTTGCCCCCCCCCCGCTATTTTCCTTGGCCCCCGGCTTCGGGACGCGGCTGCCGGACGGGGGTTTTGTTTAAATTCCAGACTAAGTGGGAAGAGCCGATGGCGGCGGTGCTTTTCCCGTGTCACAGAGCCGGGTTGATGAGAACCAGATGAAGGGAGAACGGCGCTGCCGAGCGGGAGCGCCGCGAATCGGGGGGAGAACAGCCTTTAACCACTGATCCCCCACCCCGATACCCCCCCCCTCCCCTCAGTCCAGACCGGGAGCTGCGTCCAGGACGGGCTGACGTACAACGATAAGGATGTGTGGAAACCCGAACCGTGCCAGATCTGCGTCTGCGACAGCGGCAACATCCTCTGCGACGAGGTGATCTGCGAGGACACCTCGGACTGCCCCAACGCCGAAATCCCCTTCGGAGAATGCTGCCCCATCTGCCCCGATGTCGACGGTACCGCTCCTCCCCCCCCCTCCCCCTCCCCGGGGTGGTTTTGGGGTGTTGCCCCCCATCTAAACCCCGCTCCTTCCTCCCACAGCCTCCCCCGTCTATCCAGAGAGTGCTGGAGTAGAGGTAACCACCGCTGCCCCCAAACCCTTTAGCTGCCCCAAATCCTCCCCCGGATCCCCCTTTGGGATCATATTATGGGACCGTATTATGGGACCATAACCACCCCCAACTCACCTTTCCCCCACAGGGTCCTAAAGGAGACACCGGCCCCAGAGGAGACAGGGTTTGTACCCCAGGCACCCGGCCCTACAAACACCCACACTGGGTGCCCCACTGCTGCTCACCTCCCCTCTCCCCCCCCCATAGGGACTCCCCGGCCCCCCTGGCAGAGATGGCATCCCTGGACAGCCTGGCCTCCCGGGACCCCCAGGCCCTCCAGGACCTCCAGGCCTCGGCGGAGTGAGTATTGGGGGGTCCCCATCAGCACATCCCATTGCTGGGGTTTCCCCTTGTCCCCCCCCCACCCTGCTCAGCCCCTTCTCTCTCTCTCTGCCCCACAGAACTTCGCTCCTCAAATGTCTTACGGATATGATGAGAAATCGGGTGGCATGGCGGTGCCCGGCCCCATGGTGAGTGGGGGGGCTGGGGGTGCAGGTGGGGTATGGGGTGTGGGGGGAGGGGGCTGTGGGGACGTCAGTAGGGTGGTGATGGGGACAGGAGTGGGGTGTGAATGGGGATAGGGAGGGGGTGGCAGTGGGGAAAGTGTTGGGGTGTCAATGAGAATAAGGATGGGGTGGCAATGGGAACAGGGGGAGTGGCAAGGAGAAAGGGATGGGGTGTTAATGGGGTCAGGGATGGGGGTGACAAGGGGAACAGGGATGGGATGTTAATGGGGACAAAAATGGGGTGGCGATGTGGACAGTGGTGAGGTGGCATTGGGAACAGGGATGGGGTGGCAGTGGGGTCAGGTGGAGTGGAAGGGGGGACAGGGATGGGGTGTCAGTGGGGACAACAAGGGGTGGTGATGGGGACAGGGATTGGGTGGTGATGGGGATGTCAGTAGCAGTGAGAGAGGGACTGGGTGGCAATGGGGACAACAAAGGTGGTGATGGGGACAGGGGTAGGGATAGGTGCCAATCAATACTGGGATAGGGGGGTAATGGGGAAAGCAAGGGTGATAGGGAAAGGGATTGAGTAACAACATGGGCATCAATAAGGTGGGACGGGGGGCAAAGATGGGATGGCAATGGGGACAACAAGGGGTAGGGATGGGGACAGCAATGGGATGGTGATTGGGAAAGGGGTTGGGCAGCAATGGAGACATGAATGGGGTAGGATTGCAGACAGGGATAGAGTGGCAATGGGGACAAGAAGGGGTGGTGATGGGGACAGAGATGAGGATGGGTGCCAGTGGGACAAGGATGGGTGATGGGTAGCAATAAGGACACCAGAGGGGCAGCAATGGGACAGGGATGGGGTGACAGTGGAAAGAGGGATGGGCTGGTGATGGGGACGTCGGAAAGCAGCAGTGGGGATGTCAATAAGGCAGCAATAAAACAGAGACAGTGGGGACTGAAATAGGTGCTGGGGGCAGAAATGTGGGGAGGGAGGGCAGGAGGGACAGCAACAGGACAGTAAGGAGCCAAAGTGCAGGGGATGGGTGTAGGATGGTGCTGAAGACAGAAATAGGGTGGCAGTGGAGACATCAGTGGGGTAGGAATGGGGTGGGGATGGGGTGCTGATGCAGCAATGGGACAAGGATGGGGAGGGGGGTGGCACACACTCAGCTCTGTCTCCTTGTTCCCCCCCAGGGCCCTGCTGGACCCCGTGGTCTCCCTGGCCCTCCTGGTGCTCCTGTGAGTATCTCCTCCTCCTCTTCAGCTCATTTTTGGGGCCAAGCCCCTGAGGGACCCTTTGGTGTGGGCGCCCTTGGTGGTGGGGGTGGGCACAGGTTGGATGAGGGCAGGATGCAGCATCCCCCCCCATGCATAAGGAAGACCACAGCGATGGGAATCCACATGGGATGGGGAGGGGGGTCTGAACTCATCATCGGGGTCTTCAGACCCATCTTTCTCCTCTTCTAACCCATTTTTCCCCCTTTTTTCCCCCCATTGAACCACAGGGCCCTCAAGGTTTCCAAGGTCCCCCTGGTGAACCCGGCGAGCCCGGTGCCTCTGTAAGTGCAGGAACTGCAGCTGCACCCCCAGCAGTGCTGGGAGGGGGCAGCAACGGGGAGCCCTGCACCCCCACAGCCCCCCACAACCCTTTCCTATCTCCTAGGGACCCATGGGCCCCCGCGGCCCCGCTGGCCCCCCTGGCAAGAACGGCGATGATGTAAGTGGCAGTGGGTCGGATCCCCCCCTCCCTGTCTGGTGGCATTGCCCCCCCCCGAGGGCTCAGCACTGTGGGGTTGTGCCACCAACCGTGTCCTTGTCTATAGGGTGAAGCTGGCAAACCTGGCCGTCCCGGTGAGCGTGGACCCCCTGGCCCCCAGGTGAGGCTCTCCCTCGGTGTGGGGGCCCACAGTGTGCACAGCACACAAGGGATGGGGCACGCCCCCCCCCTTCTCTGTCCCCCCCGTGGCTCTGTGTCACCCCACTACCTTTCCATGTAGGGTGCACGCGGTCTCCCTGGAACTGCTGGTCTGCCGGGCATGAAGGGACACAGAGTGAGTTCTGCATCCCCCCCCAGTGCACCCATGAGATGTGGGGCGAACTGGGAACACCCCCAAGTTGGGGAAACCCCCAGGGTACCCCAACACCCAGCCTATGAGCTGGGGGTTGGGGGCACTGCGGGCACTGATGCTGACCTCCCTCCTCCGCCCCCCCCAGGGCTTCAGTGGTTTGGATGGTGCCAAGGGTGAGCCTGGCCCCGCTGGTCCCAAGGTGAGCAGTGCTGCTGGAGCAGCTCACCCACCCACCCAACCCCACTGGGGGATCCCGCTGCTCCCACTTTGGGGCAGAAAACCCCGAATTTTTACGTATTGTTGTTATTATTATTTGTTGTCCTAGGGTGAGCCTGGCAGCCCTGGAGAGAACGGCGCTCCTGGACAGATGGTGGGTGCTGGGTGGGTGCTGGTTGGGTGCTGGGTGGGTGCTGGGAGACACAGTGAAGGGGGGGACACGGTGCCCCCTGAGGGGCTGCATCCCTAGGGGTGCTGGGGGGAGGAGGGTTTAGCAATGAGAGCATCACTGGGGGGGCACAGAGATGCTAAAGGAAAAGCAGCCCATCCTGACCCCATCCTTCTGTCCTCCGCAGGGTCCTCGTGGTCTTCCCGGCGAGAGAGGCCGCCCCGGTCCATCCGGTCCCGCCGTGAGTATTGGGGAGCCCGGGGCTCGGACCCCCCCGCTACCCCCCCCCACCCCCCATCACTGCCGCAGCTCACGGCCGCCTCTCTCCCGCAGGGCGCTCGCGGTAACGACGGTGCTCCCGGTGCTGCCGGTCCTCCTGTGAGTGCCCCCAACCCTCCGAGTTCCCCCCGGCCCGGCCTGGGGGGGGGGCTCTCCTGCGAAGGGTCCCCATCCCAGAGCCGCGCTTCCCGGTAAGCCCGATGCGCCGCGCTGTTCTGGTCTGACGCATCCATCCTCTCCCCCACTTAGGGCCCAACCGGTCCCGCGGGTCCCCCCGGCTTCCCCGGCGCTGCTGGCGCTAAGGTAAGACCTCCGCCCCTCGGCCGCGACCCCACAGCCCCGGCTGGGAGTTCAGGGGGAGGTGGGATGGGGGATTTCCTCCCCCGCGCTCCGCAGTGCCCGTCGGTGGCAACAGGGCCGGCACCGCCAACGGCTGCGCTGCGCGGAAAGGAGGAGCGGTGCGACTGCGGGCAGCCCGGCCGTGACTCTTCCTCCCTCCTCTTCCTCCCCAGGGCGAAACAGGTCCCCAAGGTGCTCGCGGTAGCGAAGGTCCCCAAGGTGCCCGTGGCGAACCCGGTCCCCCCGGCCCAGCTGGCGCTGCCGGTCCCGCCGTGAGTGCCCCCCGACGGCCCCCCGCCTTTCAGCCTCACGTCCCTCGTGCTCCCACGTAACCCTCCTCTTCCTCCTCTTTCTCTCCACCAGGGTAACCCCGGTGCCGACGGTCAACCCGGTGCCAAAGGTGCTACGGTGAGTGGTTGGTGCCGCGTCGCGCCGCTTGGAAAGGCTCCCGGTTCGGGGGTCCCCGCGCCCTCACCGCCCCTCTGCCTGTTTCTCAGGGCGCTCCTGGCATCGCCGGTGCCCCCGGCTTCCCCGGTGCTCGCGGTCCCTCCGGACCCCAAGGTCCCAGCGGTGCCCCCGGACCCAAAGGGAACGCAGTGAGTACCTCCACACCCCCTCTCCCCCCACCCCCCGTGGTGGGGACACAGCCCTTCGCTCCAGCGCTGGGATGGAGATGAGGCACTGAGTCGATGGCTTTGGGATGGCTCCATCCTTTGGTCCATCGGTGCACCGCCTCACCGGGGGTCACCTCCGCACCCCCACGGCACTATGAGCTGCCAGCACCGGGGCTGGGGGGGCTCAGCACCCCGTCCCCGCGCCCACCAACACGGTTCTAAGCATCTCCCCTCCTCTTTCCCAGGGTGAACCCGGCGCTCCAGGCAACAAAGGTGACACCGGAGCCAAAGGCGAACCCGTAAGTGCCCCCAGCAGCCACCGACGCTCAACGCAGCCCCGGCTCAGCGTCTCCTCGCGGCCACTCACCCCGCTCTCCCCCCTCAGGGTCCCGCTGGTGTTCAAGGCCCCCCCGGCCCCGCCGGTGAGGAAGGCAAGAGAGGAGCTCGTGGAGAGCCCGGCCCTGCTGGGCTGCCCGGTCCTGCAGGAGAACGGGTGAGTCCGCGTTGTTCTGCCCCCGCTTCGGCCCGATGGAAACGCCGATGTCCCCGCGGGCGTCCCACGCACCTCGAGGTTTCCTTGGAGCATCTCGGCGGCTCAGCCCCACAGCTGTGCCCCATAGGTTTCCCCACCCCGCTCTGACCGCTCTCCCATCCCTCGCAGGGCGCTCCCGGCAGCCGCGGTTTCCCCGGTGCTGACGGCATCGCCGGTCCCAAGGTGGGTTTTTTTTTCCCTTCCTGAGCGTGAGCGCAGCTCTGTGCCCCCTCCCCATCCCTGATCTCGATAACCTCCGTTCTCCCTCAGGGCCCCCCCGGAGAGCGCGGTTCCCCCGGTGCCGTCGGCCCCAAAGGATCTCCCGGTGAAGCCGGACGTCCCGGAGAACCCGGTCTCCCCGGTGCCAAGGTGAGCGCGGCGGGGGCAAAGTGCGGTGGGCAGCGCCAACTGCCGGCCCTGCCCACGTCCACCCCCAAAAGCCCACCCCGAACCCCGTGCCCTAACCCGGCCCTAACGCTCCTCCCAGGGTCTGACTGGAAGCCCCGGCAGCCCCGGTCCCGACGGCAAAACCGGACCCCCGGTAAGTAACCCCTATAGCCCCCCCTCCTCACCTCCTAACCGTGCAGTTCTCTGACGGGCTCTTTGCTCTCCCCACCTCAGGGTCCCGCTGGTCAGGATGGTCGCCCCGGCCCCCCCGGCCCCCCCGGAGCCAGAGGTCAAGCTGGTGTGATGGGTTTCCCTGGTCCCAAAGGTGCTGCGGTGAGTAAACATGGGTGGGATGCTCAAGTGGGGGGGGGTTGATCTGCCCACAGGTTCAGAGGTGCATGAGGTGCACAAATTCACGAGGGCTTCATGTCAGATCTGTGGCACGAAGCTCACAGAGCCCCATATTGGGGAGGGGGGGGGAGGGCAGGGCTCAGGGGACGTGTCCCTATATGTGTGTGTGAGGGGGGGTCCATCCCACGGTGCTGTGATTTTGGCACACATCTCACCTCACTCTCTTGCTTTTAGGGTGAGCCTGGCAAACCCGGTGAGAGAGGAGCTCCCGGCCCCCCTGGTGCTGTTGTGAGTATTCCTGGGGGCAGCTCTATGGGGCCAGAAAACCAAATGGGGTTTGGTGGCCATTGGGTCGGGCTGGAGGCTGCCAGCAGCTCAGGATCCATGGCAGCAGGGAGGTGACGTGGCAGGAATCTCCTTCCAGGGATGCCACAGTTCTGTCCTGCCCCACACCTTGCTCACAGCTCAGCCCCATAGGCTCATAGCTCAGCCCCATAGGCTCATAGCTCAGCCCCATAGGCTCACACTGCACGGCCCTATAGGCTCACAGTGCACGGCCCCATGGGCTCATAGCACAGCCACACTATAACCCTATGGGCTCATAGCACAGCCCCAGAGGCTCACACTATAACCCTATAGGTTCGCAGCACATGGCCCTATAGGCTCACTGCACAGCCCCATAGACTCACAGTGCATGGCCCTATGGAATTCCAGTGCATGGCCCCATGGGCTCATAGCACAGCCCCATAGGCTCACACTGTAGCCCTATAGGTTCACAGCACATGGCCCTACAGGCTCACAGAACAGCCCCAAAAGTTCACAGTGCTTGGCCCTATAGACTCACAGCACAGCCCCATGGACTTACAGCACATAGGCTGACAGTGCACAGCCCTATGGGCTCACAGTCCAGCCCCATAGACTCGCAGCACACAGCCCCATAATCTCACAGCCCAGCACTGCCCTATAGACTTACAGCACAGCCCCATGGGCTCACAGTGCAGCCCCATAGGCTCATAGCCCCATAGGCTCACAGTTCTCTGCCCCACAGGTTCACAACTCAGCCCCATAAGTTCAGAGCGCTCTGCCCCATAGGCTCACAGCTCTCTGCCCCATAGGCTCACAGCTCTCTGCCCCATAAGTTCAGAGTGCTCAGCCCCATAGGCTCACAGCTCTCTGCCCCATAGGCTCACAGCTCTCTGCCCTATAGGTTCACAAGTCAGCCCCATAGGCTCACAGCTCTCTGCCCCATGCACTCCCAGCACCCAGGGGTGCATGCAGTGCTCTGAGCCCCTCCTCCCCCCTCAGGGTGCTGCTGGTAAGGATGGTGAAGCCGGTGCCCAGGGTCCCCCCGGCCCTACTGTGAGTATCTGCGTCCCCCCCCTCACTGTGCACTATTGATGGTGCTCTGCCGCCCCCCAACCCCCCCTCACTCTTCTCCCCCCTCCCACAGGGTCCTGCTGGAGAGAGAGGTGAACAAGGTCCCGCCGGAGCCCCCGGCTTCCAGGTGAGGTGAAAACACCTCGTGGTGACAGCGGTACCACCCCCCCTTTGTACCCCACATTCCCACCCCCCACCTCTCCTCCTTTTCCCCCACAGGGTCTGCCTGGCCCCGCTGGCCCCCCCGGAGAGGCTGGCAAGCCCGGTGAGCAGGTGAGTGCCCCATCACCATCCCTACGGACATCACCCCGAGTCGATGCCTCGATGCTCCATCCCATAACCTCCATCCCATAACCTCCATCCCATCCATAGGGTGTTCCCGGAGATGCTGGTGCCCCCGGTCCCGCCGGTGCCAGGGTGAGTTGAAGCCCCACAGCCCCCCCCTGCTTCCCCCCTGCTCCAAACAGCCGCGCTCAGCTCCGCTCCTCCTCCCGCAGGGTGAGAGAGGTTTCCCCGGTGAGCGCGGTGTCCAGGGCCCCCCCGGTCCTCAGGGTCCTCGTGGTGCTAACGGTGCTCCCGGAAACGATGGTGCTAAGGTGGGTACGGGGGTTCTGCTTTTGTTTTTTTTTTTGGGGAGGGGAGAGGGGAGGTGGGGATGACTCGGGAATGGGGCTCTGTCTGCAGAGATAGCGCTGATTTCTCTCTAACCTCCATTGCTGTGTTTCTCCCCCAGGGTGATGCCGGTGCTCCCGGTGCCCCCGGAAACCAAGGCCCCCCCGGGCTGCAGGGAATGCCTGGAGAGCGCGGTGCTGCCGGCCTGCCAGGCGCCAAGGGTGACAGAGTGCGTGTCCCCCCCCCCACCAATCCCCCCATCCACCCTCTGCCTGCAGCCCCCTCCCCTCCCACGGCCGCTCACCGCCTGGAGGGGCATCCAGGACCACTCGTGTCCCAGCAATGGCCACTCCTGTCCCTGAGCCAAAGGGAGGATGGGCGGGGGGTGTGGTGGTCCTTATGGGGCGCAGAGCAGTGGGACACCCTGGGCTGTACCCCACAATGTGACCCTCTGTGCCTTCTCCCCCCCATGCAGGGTGACCCCGGTCCCAAAGGTGCTGACGGCGCTCCTGGCAAAGATGGTCTCCGTGGTCTGACCGGCCCCATCGGCCCCCCCGGCCCTGCTGGTGCTCCTGGTGACAAGGTGGGGACATCCTTCATATGGATGCTATGGGGAGGTGTCCCCGTGCCCCCCACCAACCCCGTACCACTGCTCTGACCTCATGGCATTTTCTCCTCTTCCTCCCCTCCATCAGGGTGAAGCTGGCCCCCCCGGCCCTGCTGGGCCCACTGGTGCCCGTGGTGCTCCTGTAAGTGTCCGCACACTGCATGGCACAGCCGTGCTGACATCCTTGGCCACCCCATACCCGATGTGATGGCCACTCTCCCTCTTTCCTCCCCTTAGGGTGACCGTGGCGAGCCCGGCCCCCCCGGTCCTGCTGGATTTGCTGGCCCTCCTGTAAGTGTCCTTACAGATGTGCTCCCCCCACATCCCCCCACCCCACACTTCACCCCCGCTCACCCCAATGCTCTGTCCCATAGGGTGCCGATGGCCAGCCTGGTGCTAAAGGTGAAACTGGGGATGCTGGAGCCAAAGGTGACGCTGGTCCCCCTGGCCCTGCTGGCCCCACTGGTGCTCCCGGCCCTGCCGTAAGTCCCCCCCCACCAGGTGCCCCCCAAGGAGATGTCTCCACAGTCTGGCTCACTCTTCTCTTCCTTCCCCCCCCCCACAGGGTGCTGTTGGTGCTCCCGGTCCCAAAGGCGCTCGCGGAAGCGCTGGACCCCCTGTAAGTATATGGGTTTTATGGGGGGGTTGCATGGCCTCCCAGGTTGGGGGGAGGTGAGTGTGTGCACCCATGGGTGGCTCAGCCCCTCCTGCATCTCACCCCCAAACGATGGGAGCGTACCCTGAAGCTGTTTGGATGGGTAACGTCGTGCTTGGGGAGGGGGGTTGGTCCCACGAGGGGGATGGGAGGTGCAGTGGGTGAAGACTGCTCGTTTCTCCCACCTCCATCCCAAATTCAAAGCTGTGCCTCCCCTGTGGGGTGAGGGCTTCCCTCCTGGCCGCTGGTCCAGGGGACAGCAGGAGGTGCCCCCGTGTCGGATGCAGCCCCCCCTGACCGCAGCGTTTTTTTCTCCCTTGCAGGGTGCTACTGGTTTCCCTGGTGCTGCTGGAAGAGTTGGTCCCCCCGGCCCCTCCGTAAGTGCTGTGCCCCCCAGCAGTGGTGGGACACGGGGTGTGGGGGGGCTGCTGGCACCGTGTTGTTGTGTGGATGCCGGGCAGAGCTCCAGGCTGCTCCACGTGGCCACCGTGGCCCATTTGGCACCGGACACCCCTGGCACCGCGCAGCCACCGGCGGGGGGGTCTGACTGCATCACCCCCCCTCACCCAGGGTAACATCGGCCTTCCCGGTCCCCCCGGCCCCAGCGGTAAGGAAGGTGGCAAAGGACCCCGTGGTGAGACCGGCCCCGCTGGCCGCCCCGGTGAACCTGGCCCTGCTGGCCCCCCCGGACCCCCTGGCGAGAAAGGCTCCCCCGGCGCTGACGGCCCCATTGTAAGTCACCCCACAACGCGACCCCTCCACGGACACCAGGTCGTGTCACCCCGTGGTTCTGCCCTCCATCAGGAGGTGCCCACATTGAGGTGCTGCTCGTGCCCCCCAGGGCGCTCCCGGCACCCCCGGACCCCAAGGTATCGCCGGTCAGCGCGGTGTCGTCGGTCTCCCCGGACAGCGAGGTGAAAGAGGCTTCCCCGGCCTGCCCGGCCCCTCTGTGAGTACCCCCATGGGACCCCCCAGCTCACCGTGTGGCTGATGGATGCTCCTGGTGCCTGACACCTCTGCGCTCTCTTCTCCATAGGGTGAACCCGGCAAGCAGGGTCCCTCAGGTTCCCCTGGTGAACGCGGTCCTCCCGGCCCCATGGGCCCCCCTGGCCTTGCTGGTCCCCCTGGTGAAGCTGGACGTGAGGTAGGGTGAAGGCTGGATGTGCTCGTGGCACCCGTGGGTGATGGGCTCAGAGATGGGTCCCTCCTTCGTTAGCATCCCTCATCCTAACGAGGGGCTTCGGGGGGTCTTGCTGTCCCATAGGGCGCTCCCGGTGCTGAAGGTGCCCCCGGTCGTGACGGTGCTGCTGGTCCCAAGGTGAGTGCCCACGGGTGGGGTGGTGGGTTGGGGTGGTGAGGTTGTGCTGATCCATGCTTATGTCTGCTCTTCCTCCTCTTCCTCTTCCTCCTCTCAGGGTGACCGTGGTGAGACCGGCCCTGCCGGCCCCCCTGGTGCTCCCGGTGCCCCCGGTGCCCCCGGCCCCGTCGGTCCTGCTGGCAAAAATGGAGATCGTGGTGAGACCGTAAGTGCTGCTCTGCTCATGGAGAGCTCCATCTGTTCCCTCCCAGCCCCAATTCTCCATCTGAGCACTGACCTGGCTGAGGTTTGGGTCAGAACTGTCCCTGTGCTTGGATCCCAGCACAGGAGAGGGCTGCCCACCGGGGGGAGGTGACCCTATGTCCCACTTGGGGTGTTGCTGTGGGATGATGCTCTGACCATCCCTTTCCCTCCTGTCCCAGGGCCCCGCTGGTCCCGCCGGCCCCCCTGGTCCCGCTGGTGCTCGTGGTCCTGCTGTAAGTTGGTGTCCCCCTCCTCTGTCCTTTGTCCTTCCTTGTCCCCGTGGACGTGGGGACGGCGTGCTGCTCGGGTTGTGCTCAGCTCATCTCCTCCCATAGGGTCCCCAAGGTCCTCGTGGTGACAAAGGTGAAACCGGTGAACAGGGTGACAGAGGCATGAAGGGCCACAGAGGCTTCTCCGGTCTCCAGGGCCCACCTGGTCCTCCTGTAAGTGCCGCCAGGTGTGGGGTTGGCAGCAGCGGGTGCTGCCCCACATCCTGAGATGCTCACAGGACTTTTTCTCGTGCCCCGCTTTGCACAGGGCGCTCCTGGTGAACAAGGTCCTTCTGGTGCTTCTGGTCCCGCCGGTCCACGAGTAAGTCCCCAACACACAGACATCCATCCGGGGCTGAGCATCGTGGGGCTGCACAGGGGACACGTCCCCCCGTGGTGGTGCTGGGGTCCCATTTGTGCTCACCACCTCTCCTCTCCCATAGGGTCCTCCTGGCTCCGCCGGTGCCGCCGGCAAAGACGGTCTCAATGGGCTGCCCGGCCCCATCGGCCCCCCCGGCCCCCGCGGTCGCACCGGTGAAGTCGGCCCTGTTGTACGTATCCACCCCACCTCCGCCGCCCACCCGGATCCGCTGCCTTCACCCCACGCTCACCGCCCTCCTCCTCTTCCTCTTGCAGGGTCCCCCCGGCCCTCCTGGCCCCCCAGGTCCTCCCGGCCCCCCCAGCGGCGGCTTCGATTTCAGCTTCCTGCCTCAGCCACCCCAAGAGAAGGCTCACGACGGCGGCCGTTACTACCGAGCTGACGATGCCAACGTGATGCGCGACCGCGACCTGGAGGTGGACACCACCCTGAAGAGCCTCAGCCAACAGATCGAGAACATCCGCAGCCCCGAAGGCACCCGCAAGAACCCTGCACGCACCTGCCGGGACCTGAAGATGTGCCACGGCGACTGGAAGAGCGGTCAGTGCCCCCCAGCAGCACCCAACATCTCCAGGCTCCTCAGCTCCATCCCTTCTGGATGCTCCCACCTCCAATCTGCCCCTCACCTCCATCTCTCCATCTGCATCACCCATGGATGCTCACCTCCATCCTTCCCACCCACCCCTCACCTCCTGGATGCTCTCACCCACCCCCTCCGTCTCTCACGGCTCTTCCCCACCTTCATCCTTCCATCCTCCCCCTCTCACGGCTGTTCCTTATTTATCCCTCTGTACTCCATCTCCCACGGCCGTTTCTCACCTCCATTCTCCATCTCTCGTGGTTCTTCCTCCCATCTTCTACCTCTCACGGCTTCTCACTTCTTATTTCTCCATCCTCTGTTCTTTGTGGCTGCCTCACTTCCATCCTCATCCCCACGGAACATTCCTCACCCCCATTCCTGTGTCCAGTGGCTGCTCCTCGCCTCCGTCCCCATCCTCTGTTCCTCCCCTTTACCTCCATCCCCATCTCTTATTTCCCTTCTGACCTCTACCTCTGCTTTCCACCACTCCTCCTCACCTCTATCCCCATCCTGTTCCTCCCCTTTACCTCCATCCCCAGCTCCTCCTCCCCTCCCATCCCTTTTGGCCAATCCTCACCTCCATCCTCATCTCCTGCGGCCGCCCCTCACCATCCCCATTCCTTATTCCTCCTCCCCACCTCCGACCCCAACTCTCACGGCCACTCCTCACCTCAACCCCTCCTGGCCATTCCTCACGCCCCTCCCCATATCCTGCCACCCCTCCTCACCCCACAGCCCCTCGCCGGCCCCTGACCCCATCTGTTGCCCCACAGGCGAGTACTGGATCGACCCCAACCAAGGCTGCAACCTGGATGCCATCAAGGTCTACTGCAACATGGAGACAGGCGAGACGTGCGTCTACCCCACGCAAGCCACCATTGCCCAGAAGAACTGGTACCTCAGCAAGAACCCCAAGGAGAAGAAGCACGTCTGGTTCGGCGAGACGATGAGCGACGGCTTCCAGGTGGGCCGATGGGGGGGGTGATGTAGGGGGGGAGATGTAGGGCAAAGCGATGCAGCACTATATGGACCCTAACGTCTCTTCCCCCGCAGTTTGAGTACGGCGGTGAGGGCTCCAACCCCGCTGACGTTGCCATCCAACTCACCTTCCTGCGCCTGATGTCCACCGAGGCCACCCAAAACGTCACCTACCACTGCAAGAACAGCGTCGCCTACATGGACCAGGACACCGGCAACCTGAAGAAGGCTCTGCTGCTCCAGGGAGCCAACGAGATCGAGATCAGGGCCGAAGGAAACAGCCGCTTCACCTATGGGGTCACCGAGGATGGCTGCACGGTGAGCGGCTGTGGGGATGGGGGACACGGGGATGGGGGACTTGGAGATGGGGGACATGGGGATATGGGGACA